CTTTGTGGTGTGCACTCCACAAATTGTTGCACATAGTATCACGAACCGGTCCTTTGGCTTTGTAAGCAAAACATTTCTGCTCCTTTTTGCTAAATTTATGCAGAGTGCAAGCAAAAATGTATCAAGTGCATGAAATACGAGCATGTGACAATATGTGGCATTGGGGTCAGCGATAAATTTGATAAAGAGTCAACTGAGACATACGAGTCAAGTGCTTCCTAGAAAAGTCAACAAATAAAAAGGAAATCTGTCAACTATGAAAATAATAATGCCATAAGCAAGGTCATCAAATACGCCCAAAAATATTCAATCAAATATTAATATTTTTATTATTGTTTAAAAATTCTTCTTACATATCATCAACATGTTTGTATATGATATAGATCCAGATGCTAAAATAGATAAACTATAACTGCATTCTCTTATAATCTGCTAAGGTATTGATACTTAGCCTTATTACACTTTTTTCGTAATTATAATATTTTATTATCTATTCTCAGATAATCCTCACAAATAGTTATCCCTATAAAGCTATAGGCTTAGGCATAAGCTTTAAATATAATTGTCAGAATTTTAAGTCATCCATTTAAAACAGTAATTGTCAAGCTTAAAGGAAAGTTTACCCAATTTTTGGTTCACACGCCCTATTCGCTTGTGGCACTGCAATTGAATTCGATTCGAGTATTTGCAGCTTAAAGTCAACTCATCAGCAGCGGCCACAGAAGCCGCCGCCGTCGAAGAAGCAGCAGCAGCATCAGCAGCGGTTGCCGTGGCATGCATCAATGCAAATGTCAAAGCAATCATTGCATGACCATGACGCCAGCGGAAGGGTGTGGAACCGGGGGCTTGGCAGCTGCCTCAAATACCATTTGCAATCGAGTGGCGACAAGAAGCAGCCCAAGCCCAAGCCCAGGCACAGGACCGTGGCCATGTCGTATGACAGTAAACACCTGGCGGGCGAAGGGGATTGATTGCACGCACAAACACAGCTTCCAATGCTGCATGCATGTATATTTGTATAATTGTGTGTGTGTGTGTGTGTGTTTTAGATATACAGAGAGATTTGTTCACCCACGATTAGTTGACGTTGGCGCACACAGTTTCCGCGCCATTTGCTGTCACTTCGCCAGTTTGCACATCGTCAGCCACGACGATGACGTCGTCGTTGCCGTCCGCCTCGCACTTGTCCTCGTCCATGTTCTCGTCCTCGTCGTCGTCGTCGTCGTCGTCCTCGTCGACCATGCCAAGTTTGTTCATGCAGCACTTGAGCTTCTTTGACTTTTTTTACTAGACCCGCCTTGCCAGGAGGCTGCCTGTTTCCTTCGACTAATGGCAACTGGAAATGGAAGCGACTGCGACAACGTTGATTGCCGTTTGTTGGTGTTGCTTACCCCCAAAATGTTGTTGCTACAAACTGTACCCATTGAAAATAATTTTAAAACGTTGGGTATATAGCAGTTAGATAGTAAAAATGTGTGCGTCAAAAGAAGGTTGAAGATGTACACATACTTGGTAAACATCAACAGCCGAGTGAATGTGATCAACGCGTCAAAACTATACGAGCTACATTCTTTAAGTTAGGAATACATTTTTTTGGAATTTGCTAAGCTGATCAAATTATCAATAATTAATAATTTAATTCTTGAACATATCTCGTTCTAAATACGAAACGCGGTACAAATGTCCTCGAATATTATAAACAAATAAGGATTGTTTCCATTTTAAATAACTTCCCTGTTCACCGCGATTTAAGCTGATTTGAGTAGGCTTAACCCCACATTTAGTTGCCATAGTTAAGCCCAACGCCGAGCTGGTTAAAGGGTAGTTGCTTGTGGAGCACCCTTGACTATCGCACCCCTACTTGTTCCAGTTGTTGTTGTTGCTGCCGCTGTCGACATTTGCGTTGGCGCCAATGTTGCCAATTTTTTGTTTGCCTTTCGCCTTTAATAAGACAAGAATTTCGATGTTTTTATTGTTGTTTCGCTGCAATTTTACGTGCTGTTGGCCCTGATAATCGTAATACTATTGACAATGTTGATGTTCAATTTGGCCAACTGGCCCATAAATTTATGGCTACTTGCGCGCACGTGCTGTACATCAAGTTAACCGTTTGCTTAATGCCTGGCCTTAAACACTATGCCTTCTTGCAGTAGCTTGAACTGGCACTATTTTGAGCTAAAAGCCGCCTGGGTTTCTATTGTTCTTGAATGCTTTGGCGCTGCAATTTGGCCGAGTAATTTGGCCAATGACAATTGTGCTGGGGCCTTGGCCATAGTCGCTTCAAGCCGAGGCCTGAGTTGAGGATGTGGCAATCTCATTGATTGCTCAACACAATTTGGCTTTCGCTTTTGTCTTGCAACAGGCAATTGAATTTTGCAAATTAGCAGCTGCAGTGCAAAATAACTGTGGGTGGCTTTAACCCACTTGAGCTGCAATGCAGCTTCCATTTTCGGATATCCATTGCATAAACTGGCTTTGTGCAATTTATAGGTACATATATAAATCTTATATATAACTCTGATCTATGCTTAATTTTATTAAGCAAGTACGCCAGCAGATGTCACTATCTAAAGCCATTCCACCACATGTGCTCCGCTAATTATTTGTTACTGTTCAATTAATGCAAGACTAATTCCTCTTAAAAATTAAATCACAGAGGTAAATAATTAATAAATTGTAAAAATAAATTTGTTATATGGAATAAATTTACAGGAAATTCCAGCATAAGCTTCCTTCAAGGCTTTGCCCGTAACGTTCTCAGTGCAAATCTCACCTGCTGACATTCCATTAACAAATTGAAGCATTATGTCGCCTGTGGCGACACCCAGAGACGGATCCTGTTTGTCTCTGCTGCTGACATACGCCCCAAAAGCGATTTCCTATTGTACCTAATATATATACATATATATAAGCAGTATATGAATCATAACGGATGGGGTCTATATTACAGACTCGTACGATTTTGAATTGAACTGAGTGTCGAAGTAAACTCATCTTTAATTTGATTCTGCCTAATTTCTTAGACTCCAAAATAAATACATTCAGTACAAGAACTAAAAGTTGACCGCAAGTGAAGAGCTGCGCAAAGGATTGCCGGGATAATGGGGAGAGTGGGCGATGGCTCAGACCAAGACACTTGGAGGCAGCATTTGCGCGCAAATAATTGAAGTTGGCTTTGTTGTTCTTGACGCTTTGTGGTTGTCGTTGACGGCATGTGGCTTAAACTGTGTGGGTCATACACATATATATATTTATATACGTGTGTGTGTGAGTGTGTTTGCAATATTGTGAAGCAGGACTTGTGTGCCGGCTAAAAGCACTTGGGTGCGGTCTGTGGGCGCTTGGTTCTCCTAAACTTGATTGATTTTGAGTGCTAGCCAAAGCCGTATTGTAAACGACTTAGCATATATGGAATAGTACTTTCAGATACTTATAGATAGCACTTATAAATCAAGCTCCTGCTCATTATTCATGCATGTATTTACGCATTTCATGGCATATTGCATCAGCTGGTAATAGACAACAGCAAGACGATAATATCTACGCCTCACTTTAGTTCAATTATATGCCAACTAAAGCATTTAAACGGGCGCTCGGACACGCCCATGTCTAACACAACCTACAAAATGTAAGTGCAAAAGTTTTGCTATTATTAAGAGCCTCATTGTCGGCTTTGTTGGACCCTGGCGACTGGAGCCCCTGCCCTACCATACATGCTAATGTTACGTGCCTGTATATAGACACACACACACACACATACACCACACTACAACCACACAATAAGGCACAATATATTCAACACAACTATGTTCATATTTTTAATGTCAGTAGAGAGCATAATAATTACGTTCATTGACTTTGCTAAGTAGCCAACTTTATGCTAATGTGATTTAGTTGCGCACAAGTTGCGAGAAAGGGAAAGAGGAGTTTGCCCAAAGTCTGGCATATTTTTACATATTTACATAATTGAGTGCAGTGGGAAATCATGTTCAAGATTCTACTTCATGTGGGCCAAAGTGTCTGTGCACATTTATGAAATCACTAAATTATTTAACAAACATAAACTACAGTTTAAATTCCCTTTATGTGGTGGTTAATTGAAATATATCCAACTTTATTGAGACTTTTTTGTTGTAAGATTAAAATGTTATATTCTCTAGGACAGAGTTTTAAAACTACAAACTGAATATTGAGTGAACTCAAAAGTTTTATAATAGTTGAGGAACGATACTTAATACATATTATATTTCTACTGAACGCTTTGTTGAAGTTTTATAAATTTAAAGTCTTAACTTAAAGTTATGACAGATCATATACTATATGATAAAATATATGTTAGCAGGCAGATAAAACAATCAAGTTAGAGTTAACACTTCATTGGAATATTTTCGGAATTTTATCTAGTTTTTCCCATAGATTAATGGACTTGAAAATTTAACCTAGTTCTTTTTATATTGAATTGAAACACAGCAAATAATTCGCTTTTTAATTACATTAAGATCGCAAGATTCTCTTCAAGCATTTATCAGCTAGAATTAGCACACGACTTATTTATTTGTAAATTTGCAAAATAGCTGCCACTTGTTAACAATTTAATTAGTTCGCATTACGGCACAGCTCCTATATGTAATAACTGTGCCATGCGTCATGCATAAATAAACTAAAAATAAAACAAGAAACGCAATCAAAACAGAAGGCAACAGTGTTGCACGCACGCCTTGTATTGATTTTGTTAAGCTAGCTATTTTTGCATTGCTAATACGCCGTGTTGTACGCGTATTATTTGGTGGCCAGCCATCGATTGTTGTCGGGGCAGCAGCAATGTCAATATCAAAGCCGAAGTCAGCGCCGGAAGCCATATTAAAGCAGCACCAGCAAATTGTTTAGATTGTGGAAAAGATGCAGCAACGCGAGCTAATTGAATTTGCAGCGGCGCTGAGAATGCCAGGTATAAATGACGGATTGTCGCTGGCCGCTAATTGAAAACGACACGAACAACGCAACGCGGCGTAGTTCGAAATATTTAACAACAACATAAAACTAGACCGGCAAAGTAATACTTCTTTTTTTTTTTGGATTAGATAAAAACTCCGCGGCAAAATGGTTGTAAACTTCAAAGTTTTTAAGAAATGTGCGCCGAACAACATGATCACGCTCTATATGAATAGGCGTGAGTTTGTGGATTCGGTGACGCAAGTGGAGCCGATCGGTAGGTGATCATCAGCAAGGCAAATAATGCAATATCTGTGGAATGATTGTGAATATGGCAAGATCAGGGAATAGTTAATAATCATGGGGATATCGCAAAAATAGATCAATTATCGTGTTAGGATCCCATATACGCATAGATTATTATTTAGTAATGTTTTCATTTATTGTGAGAGATTTCTAATGAGGCGTCGATTGAAACAGTCGGATATTAAATTGGAATATATTCACAGTGTAGTATATTATAAATCAACTTTTGAATAATTTCATTATAAGCAGCAGTCAGCTACTGAGTACCCTATGCAATTATTAAATTATATATATAGATTTTATATTCCAAAAAACAATTTAATTTATTCAGTATTATAATGGGATATAATGTATAAGCCTGGGAATATTTGGCAGCATTTTACAGCAAAGTTTAAGATACTATTATAATTTTTCCAGACCCTAATAAATCTAGTACTATCTCCCAGACTTTCTAATTTGCAAGCACACGGGTTATCGTATATATGAAATAAATTAACCATGTATTTTGAGCCGAATTATAACCAACTCCATTTGTACATTCATAACATAATCAGTTGATCTGCTTGGGCTTTAATTAAATTAAGCCGTAATTTATGCAATGGACAACAGCTGTAACAGCCGCAAAGCTGCTTATTAGTTACGTGTTAATTGACCGACCGTGTAATATGGGCGAAAGACGTGTCTAGGCGTGACCGTGTGTTAAATCTGGCTCAATTAATTTCGTTCGTCCATTTGCAGATGGGATCATTGTGCTGGATGATGACTACGTGCGTCAGAACCGCAAGATCTTCGTGCAGCTTGTGTGCAACTTTCGCTATGGACGCGAAGATGATGAAATGATTGGATTGCGTTTCCAAAAGGAGCTGACGCTTGTCTCGCAACAGGTGTGCCCGCCCCAGAAGCAGGACATACAGCTGACCAAGATGCAGGAGCGTCTGCTTAAGAAACTGGGCTCCAATGCATTCCCCTTTGTCATGCAAATGCCTACCAGCTCACCGGCTTCGGTGGTGCTGCAGCAGAAGGCGAGCGATGAGAGCCAGCCCTGCGGTGTGCAATACTTTGTGAAGATCTTTACGGGCGAGAATGATTGTGATCGTTCTCATAGACGCAGCACCATTAACCTGGGCATACGCAAGGTGCAGTATGCACCCACCAAGCAAGGCATGCAGCCCTGCACGGTGGTGCGCAAGGACTTTCTTTTGTCACCCGGAGAGCTGGAGCTGGAGGTGACACTGGACAAGCAGCTGTATCATCACGGCGAGAAGATATCGGTCAATATTTGTGTACGCAATAACTCGAACAAGGTTGTGAAGAAGGTCAAGGCAATGGTGCAGCAGGGCGTCGATGTGGTACTCTTCCAGAATGGACAATTCCGCAATACGATTGCCCATATGGAGACCAGCGAGGGCTGTCCACTGAACCCCGGTTCCAGCCTGCAAAAGGTCATGTATCTGGTGCCCACACTGGTGGCCAATTGTGATCGGGCTGGCATTGCCGTTGAGGGCGATATCAAGCGCAAGGACACAGCACTGGCCTCGACCACGCTGTAAGTAACCCCTCCCAGCCCTAAAATAATGCTGACTTAACTCAAATTTTGCTTTCACAGCATTGCCAGTCAGGATGCTCGTGATGCCTTCGGCATTATTGTTTCATATGCGGTTAAGGTAAAGCTCTTTCTGGGCGCTCTGGGCGGCGAGCTGTGCGCTGAGCTACCCTTCATACTCATGCACCCTAAGGTAGGTACCAGCCTCTTAACTAAGCCCTGATAATTCTGCCAAAGCTTATTTTCTCGTGTTCTTGTACAGCCCAGCCGCAAGGCACAGTTGGAAGCTGAGGCATCCATTGAGGCCTAAACATGCAGCTACCTCAACTTAATCGAATACAAAGTGCATATATTTATATAGAAATGTTTAATCAAAGTGTTATATAATATTAACAACAATCCAAAGCTGATGTTGCTGAAATGTTCTGAACTGCAGTCGTCGTAACTTTTCTTACTTAACAAATCTATTCGCAATATATGTGTGTATGTGTATTATAAACGCTATAAATGCAACTTATATTTTATGTTATAATTGAATTGAATATTCTTAAAAAAAATATAAAAAAAATTGCCTGACAAACAAAAAACGATTCGCTTGTAAGTCAACCTTTTTTGATGAATTTTTGGAATATTTCGGCCAATTAATGTCAGATTTAGGAATTTTATACCATTTTGGACTCGTAAGGAGCAGTACTATCAATTGGCTTTGAAAAAATGAAAATCTAAATTTTGACCCAAATCGACCAAAAATCAAGGGGTTAGATAACGTTTTTTCCCAAAATCAGGCTCGGTGCGAAAATAAAAAACTGTTTTGATGATTTTTTTTTTAATATCTCGGGTAAAAAGTGTAATCATCTATTGGTTAAAAAAGTTGTTGACCAAAACACGATTCTTTTCAGTATTTTTTGGAATATCTCGGCTTACCTTACCTGTTCTACTTTTTTAAAAGTTTTAATTGCATCGCAACATTTTACGTAATTGTGTAAGCTAATGTAATTATTTCTTCCATCTAAACCAAACTACAGTTTTCATTATTGGAGTAAGCACGTAACCACACACACACACACACAAATACGCCGGCTGGATTATGCATTATTCCGCCACAGATGCCACAAGGGTTGGTATCTCAGCATACGAGATGCTTAAGATTATGCATTTATTCAAGTGCATTGTGGCAAGCAAATGCCGCATACGGAATCATTATGGCCAGAGTATAAATTTTGCACTTTGCCCATGCTGATAACATCAATATGCTGCATGCTAATCGCAACGCTTACTTTTGCGGCTAAGTGTATTTCAATTAATGTCAGCCCCAAAACATAATTTCGTAGAGGACCAAAATTAATGCATACAAAAGTACACAATGCATTTGATGAACTGCATCAATGTGGCTGGCATTTAGTTGAAATTGAATATTGAGCGATTACACCATAACCAACATAATTCCTATATTTTTAGTGCTACTTCAATTAAACAGTTTCGATATGAGGCTGGTTAGACAATTTATAGTGCATGCATTTAGAGCCGAGAAAATAGCGTATCTGATTAGATTAGGTTTATTTTTACTTGATTTAGCGACAAGTTGACGCGGTGTAACACAAAAATAGTTATACCTAACGCACTTTTCTGATTAAGCACCTGTTGTTATCAACTGGTTGCAGAAAGACATATTACTATCAGACGGCGCTGTTGGCTCAACGATTTAAGGTTTTTTTAATAAGCTAAACACAATCTCCATTGATATTCATGTTAAAAGATACCTATATGCACAACTTTAAGGAAAAAGAAAGTTTTTTCGTTTTGCTACTTATTAACGATATCATTTGCAAAAAAAAATCGTATATTCATGATTAAAACGGCGCACCTGTTACCAGGTCGTTGGCAGCGTTTCATAATCTATAATCAGTAGACTGATAAAAGAAAAGGTAGCCGTGAAAACCCAATGGCCTTGTTGAAATTGGTTTAAGTGCATTGTGCATACATCTGGACGTTCAATAAGCCCATAAACTTGAGCAACAATTAAAAATGAATAATCAATGAAAAGAAAACAAAACAAATAGAAAAGAATATGATTAAGGTGTGATTATCGCATATGGAAAGAATAAAACAGTTGCGATTAGGTCTTAATGGGTTAGTTAACCAGCGATAGGGCTCGTTGAAGGCATTCCGAATATAAACGTGGTCGGAATGTGCTGTCGGTGCTGTGGTGTGACCCAACAAAAGGTCTGGGTTTTTGGCCTTGGATCACTATTCACAGTGTTGGGACTCCTAGCTGTAATATGGTGGCCCACTCTCATAGATAGTATCATAATGAAGGTAAGTAGCTGCCAAGAAATCAAGATAGAGTTAACTATGCTAATAGTCTCGATTAATTAAAGGCTTTGCCGCTGACGCCCACATCGAGAACCTATGAGAAATGGCTGGATTTGCCCATACCCGTTTATATGAATATGTATCTGTGGAATTGGACTAACGCGGAGGAGGTGAAGCTGCATGGCGTTAAGCCAAATTTTCAGCAATTGGGGCCCTATGTCTATAGAGAGGAACGCCTAAAAATGGATGTGGAATGGCATGAGAATAATACGGTGACCTTCAAGCCTAATCGCACCTGGTTCTGGGAGGAGGAACTCTCCGGTGGCAAGCAAACGGACTTGGTGACGGTGCCACATCTACCATCGATTGTGAGAAATATTAAATATGCTGAAAGTACAAAGTTGATTTCTTTTCATTTTGTTTTCTTTTTTTAGGCCGCAGCGGCTATGATGCGTGACAGTCCCTCACTGATTAAGCTTTTTTTCAACAAAGCGCTCAATGATAATGGTGGTTTACTCTATGCCACCCACACGGCCAGCGAGTGGCTGTTCGAAGGTTTCTATGATGAGTTTCTGCATTATGCAATGACTTTGAACAATCCTCTGGCGCCGCCAATTGAAACGGATCAGTTTGCCTGGTTTCTAAACCGAAACGGTTCCAAAGAGTTTGAGGGCGCCTTCACGGTGCATACGGGCGTAGGTGATATCAAGGAAATGGGCGAAATTAAATTCTGGAATGGTGAAAATCATACTGGCTGGTATGAGGGCGAATGCGGTCGTCTCAATGGCAGCACCACAGATCTCTTTGTCCCCGACGAGCCAAAGGAGAAGGCACTCACCATATTCATAGCTGATACCTGCCGCATTATCAATTTGGAGTTCACGGGCCAAAGCTATGAGATTGAGGGCATTCAGGGCTGGAAATACGAGGTGACGCCGAACACCTTCGACAATGGACAACGGCAAGCGGATATGAAATGCTATTGTCCGGTTGACAAACAGCCCGATAACTGTCCAGCGTCGGGCGCCACAAGCTTGGGTCCCTGTTCCGATGGCGCTCCCATGTATCTATCAGCCTCTCATTTCATGTATGCCGATGAGAGTTATGCCAACACAATAACTGGCTTTGACCCAAACTATGAACGCGACAATTTCTTCATCATAATGGAACGCAAACTTGGTGTACCGCTTCAAGTGAATGCAGCCATCATGGTCTCATTGTATATGGAAGCAGACGCGGACATCGAGTAAGTCCATGATTCAGTTTTGACAGGGAAACATATTAACAACTTCCTCTAATACACAGCATTATAAAAGACATACCGACCTTCTATGCGCCACTCTTCACAACCGGCAGCTCAGCAGTTATTAACAAGGAGCTCGCTTCCGAGTTGAAGGCAACTACTATATATATATCCATTGCCAGTTGCAGTCTATTCATGACATTTCTTTATAGCTGGTATTAAGTCTACCCGCAATTGGACGCTATACTGGCATTGGCTTTCTCTGCTTGGGCTGCATCCTTTTGGCTGTCGGAATTTTCCTCACTCTCAAACGCAAGTGGTATGGACAGGCGGCAGCTGATAGGGCGGCACTTATCAATGCAGACACAGAAAACTCAACTGACCCAGAAACAGTTCCAAAATAATGCTTAGAGCTTAACAAAGCTGATGCATTTTAATTTTTCTTCATCACAAACATTTAAAAATATAACAAAAAGTGATTTTTGGATTGTGATTCATATTATTAATTTTCCAAATTTATAAATAAGCGTGATTTAAAAAAATATATATTAATATCTCTTTATAAAATTGTTTGTCCTGAGCCTGTAGTTACCTTATGTATGTTTGAGTGTATGTATGTACATACTGTATAGTTTTAAAACTTTAGATACGGATAGTTTTACTTAACTTGTATTTGGAACCGATAGTTGCTAGAGAGCTCCAGGTTGCTTCAGTTTTAATTGGGATCTTTAGGAATAATGTTATATATGAAAAAATATTCAGTTTTTCCATTGTTAAAAATCTGGCGATGGTATGATTACAGTTACCTTAAACGCCGTTTGATAAATATCTTACATCTAAAGGAACTGTAAAAATGTTTGTTATTCTTTCGGTTGTTAAAAAAAAAAACTGCGACATATTTTTTGTATTTTTAAAGATCACGAAATTTTAAGCAAAGCAGCCAAAAAATATGCAACTGCTAAATGTCAAATTATGTAAAAGTCAAATGTATATAGTAAAATTCGCCGCTAATCTGGTGGCACTTATCGTGCTTAAAACATACCTAAGTTTATGAATTAATAGAGTTGTTTTTTTGCTGCACTCTTAGTTAGCTGCTCTTAAGTAATCACTATAATTATCGCATTGAAGCAATCTAATCAATCAAGCATATTTGCATACTAAAAACAACATTAAAAGAATCCAATTAAAAGAATCCACTATATATAAGTTTTAATCTAATCAGAGCATTTAACTCGCTGCCTTCTATAAACATTGGTAACTCTTGAGTTTATTCAGCAGTCGCAAAATGTGCTGCAACTGCTGCAGTGTGCGCCAACAAAAGATCTGGGTCCTTGGCCTAGGCAGTTTTCTACTTATACTAGGCACTGTGCTGCTTTCAGCCTGGCCCAGTCTGTCGCGGCAATGGATCCGTAACATACTGCCCCTGTCGGCAAATTCGTTTATGTACAAACGCTGGGTGACCACACCGACACCGGTCTATAGCACCTTCTATCTCTTCAATTGGACCAATCCAGAGGATTTGAATAATGATAAAGTGAAACCGAATTTTGAGCAGCTGGGACCATATACGTTCAGTGATTACAAGGAGAAGGTGCATCTTATGTGGCAACAGCCGGAGGTAACCTATTACGGGCGAAGAGTTTGGCACTTTGTGCCAGAGAAATCCAAGGGTAGTCTCGACGATGTCATTGTTACTCCACATTTTCCAACACTGGTGAGTAAAAACTCTGACATAAATATATTATCAGCTTAGGATTTACTGATGACTACACTTTAAATTGATAAATATCGATATTCGATTAGCATTTTGCTTAGATAACAGCTAGAATCATCATATTTGATATATGTATATGTTCTCATCTAGTACACACAGATAAATAACTTTTCTAGTTTCAATCCGCGCTTAAATATTTTCTAAAGTTTTTGTCTACGCTCCAAGTTTTCAATTTGTTTTTATTACCGAGTTTTGTCCTTCTCTCTGTTATGTAAATTTATGCCAGAGTATTTTTTGTCTGCATTTTGACTTATATTAATCCCGACTCGCAGACGGCCGCCCGCTATGTGCGCAAATATCGTCGCCCGCTGCGCAAGATTATGAACTTTGCGCTGAATCGTGAGGGAGGTGGCACCTACATGAGCTACACGGCTGGACAGTGGCTATTCGATGGTTTCTACCATGAGCTCATTGACTTTGTGGAGCGTCTGCATTCGCCGCTGTTGCCACTGTACAGTGACCATTTCGGCTGGTTCTATATGCGCAACAACTCTGAGACGGCCGAGGGTAATTTCACCATACACACGGGCCACGGGGATCTCAGTCGGATGGGCGAGCTGCAGCTATGGAATGGCACCGCACACACGGGCTACTATGAGGGCGAGTGTGGCAAGGTCAATGGCAGCACGGGCGAGCTGTGGGCGCCGGGTCGTCGGTGGCACGAGACAATTTCCATATTTTTGTCAGATGCATCGCGATACATAAATCTGTACAGCATGGCGAATGTCACTGTGCAGGGCATCGATGCCTGGCGCTACGAGACCAGCGAACTGAGCTTCGACAACGGCCAACTGGCGCCGGATACGAAATGTTTTTGTGTTGCCAAAAAGGAATGTCCGCTGAATGGTGTGCTAGATTTCTCACCAGCCGCCTATCATGGTCCCATTTACATGTCGCATCCGCACTTCTACATGACAGATGAGTCCTATAGGAGAAATACGACGGGCTTGCAGCCGAATCCTTTCGAGCATGGCATGTATGTGGTAATGGAGCCGACGCTAGGCATACCGCTAAGCCTGAAGGGACAAGTTATGATCAGTGTACTTGTGCAGCGCGATGAGGCCATCGAGTGAGTTAAGCTCTACGATCTCCTCATACTATTCTCTCTATACTATAATATTACATATTATATAATATTTATGCTTATTTGTATTTCTTTTTTCACATGCTCTTCAAATTATTCGCTACTTCTGTATTGGTATTTGGCTTTATACTAATCTTCTCTCACTCTCTCAGCTACCTGAAGGATGTGGCCTATGATCACTATGCGCCGCTGTTTGTAGTTCAACTTCACGCAGACTTGGGTGATGATCTGATCCGCCTGCTTAAGGTTGGTGCTCTTCTGTTTTATCTCAAGTGTGCGCATTACTAAATGCCACATTCAATTACAGCTGGGCTTAAGCGTGCCCAAGATTGGTCAATTCGTGGGACTGGGTTTGGTTTTGATTGGCCTCATCATGCTGATTGTAGGCGTGCTCGTGAGTAAAAAACATAAATGGCACAATGAGTGGAAAACTGAAGACAGCGCGAAAGTAAAAGTAATTGAAGGCGATTGCGTTAACGGCAGCAAATATTGATAAGACTGTGTTTTGTTTTCTCTTTGAGATAACGACTGTTTTCTGTTATTATTAGGTTTATTTTGAGTGCAGAAGTGATTATATTAGGCTATTATTAATTGAAGTGCGCCATAAAAATGAAATTCCTAACACAAATTGGCGTGCAGCTGCTTTTTGGCCAATTTCCTTGAGGTGTTGCCCAGCTGAGCTCGTCTAGAATTACACAAAATTATGGCCTCTCAGATATGCTAAAATTTATTAATATGTTAATAATTGTTTTTAGCTTTTGTTTCATAATATTTGTCGTGATGTGTGCGGTGCCTGGCGGCGCACAGGCAAAAACCTTGAGCACGTAAGCTGCATACTTTACGGCGTACGAACTCTTTCACCTAGACACACACGCACACACATACACACACACACATTCTCACCCACAGCCAAATTGCTAACTGGAAATTTGAAAAATGCCAACAGAATATTATAAGCGGCTAATTTATATGCGCCTGGCACGCAAACTTACGTTTTGCACACACATTGTTGTCGAAGAGCTCAGTGGGGTAGAGTGCGGTTGGTGGGGCAGCTGGCAAGTAGCTAAGGAAGCTCAGGAAGTGGGCGGCGTTGCAAGTTAAACAATGTATGAAAATATGAAAATTATATGGCAGCAAGTATGTGTTGGCCATAACTTTAATAAATACACATAAGTTATGATTAAGCTCTGCAACTTAATATCACGAAAATCTTAAGAAAAAACTGCTGTTGAAAAGGCTTAAAGCATAATAAATTTTAAGTTTTAATACCAGTTTGCATTCAAGTTAAGACATGGATTAAATGTTGTATACAAAGTCTGAAAGGATTTATATTTTATATGTAAAAGAAAAAACAATTCTGGGTTATTAAAATATAGACATGAATTTCATATAGAATATGAGTAGTAAGTATATCTTCAAGCTTTTGAAACATTTGTATTACAATGTCAAGAGTTTATTATTTATCCAAATCAATAAATAAGAATTTTATATTATTAAAATTATTTACTTTTAAGACTCGTTTAACACTAATAAATATGATTACACGTTCTTAAAGCATTCCAGGCATTGAAATCAAAATAAAATGAATATCTTTCAGCATTATTAATTAGGTCGCAAATTTATTTGCATTTTAGCAGTCAAATATATTTCTGTTTAAAACAGAAAACATACTGAGCCCAATGCCCGGACAAATATGTGTTTTGCTACAAACATGATTTACATTTATTTATTTATGCACATTTGCTGGCATTTTGGCCGAGAGCTATTTAATACGAACGAATCAACTAAAATCGGATTGGATTGGATTGGATTGGTTGATTTGCGCATTTGCTTTATTTAGATTGAAATTTATTTTATTTTGATTAACAATTTAAGACAGCATTTGATTTATAGTGCATTTTATAATACCATAAATTCACAATATAAATAACTCAGTAGCTTAGATAAATACTATATTACAATTGTTTAACAATTTGCAGACAAGCCAACACAATTTGGCGTAAATAAAAATAAAAGAGTTATGTGAGTTGCGAGTTATTAAAATTTCCTTTGAAATTATGTGGACACAAAAAAGGATACAGCCGAGCTATGGCCTATTTTCTCTTGCAAAAATTGACATAAAAACTTCGCCATTTGAAGGACTTTCGTCCTTTTTGATATATTTTCTTAAACTGGACGACGAGCACTATCTACTGTGAAAAGGACATCCCGATAGTCCTTCAAATGGCCAAGTTAGACCCGCTTTTTTCAACTTTTGCCACTTTTGCGACTTACCCCCTATGAAATATTTTGATGAAATTTTTTGTCGAATCATGGAAATCCTTGGATGCCAATCGATAGTCCTGCTCTCCACGAGTTCAACAAGGTATATCCTTCCGATATCCTTAAGGTTTTGGGCGAATTATGGCTAATTAAAAAATGTCCTTTTTAGAAAATTGGTTTGATTCGTTTGACACAGGACTTGTAAGGATCCGCAAGGATACGACCGAGTTATGGCTTTGTTAATTTACGGTAGATTCACACTCATATCTATGCTGTCTAAAGGACTTTCGTCCTTTTTATTATATATTCTGAATTTGGAGGGTGAGGACTACCGATTGGCCAAAGGACATCACGATCGGCGAGGAAACGGCGGATCTACAGCCTTTTATTTCTACA